GCAATAGGACATGTCGTTTTACTGTGAAAATGCCTGCTCCAATCAGTTATTCTTCTTACTTTTTAAAAAACCTATGCCAGGCTAATTAAAACCAATATCTGATATGCTATTCTTGCAATTGCATTGTGGTTGTGTCTTCTTTTCCAAGGAAAAGGACATAAAGGGCTGTCATGTGTTTTATAAGGCATAGTTTTCATTCTGTTTATGATATTGTTTTTCTGCTTTGCAGCTGCCCTGATTTTACAGGCCTTATTCTGCACTGCTCTTTGCTGGCCTCACAGTGTTGCTAATTTCAGCACCATGGACAGTTACTGCCATATCTCCACTGCTTTTCTTTCTGTGCAGATTAAAGCGAAGTTCTACTCACTCTGTAAAAAAAAATAAAAGTCAGCAGCTACAAAAACTGTCCCACGATCCCGCGTTGCCCCTGCCGCAGCCCATTTCACCGGCTGTCCTGTATTCCAGGAGACCGGCATCTTCCGTGTGGGCACCCAGCTGTGCCAGCTTGTGGCTTCACAGCCAGGTGCCCACTGTGCATGCGTGAGCAGCGCTGCACTTCCTGAATGACCCCTTCATCTTCTGGAATTTATCACGTGTCCCACAAGACTTCGGGGAGGGAGGGTAGGAGGACAACTTCCATTTCCGATCGCCTAGGCGATCGCAGTGGGAGCGGGTACCTGTCGAATTCGGGTACCCCCCCATTAAGAATTGTCACCTTTGGGGAGCGGGGAACTTATCTTTAAAGCAGAACTTCCCCTTTTGGGTGGAACTCCGCTTTAACCACTTGCCCTTCAGAGGATTTACCCCTCTTCCTGACCAGGCCATATTTTTAATATGGCGCTGCATTACTTTAACTGACAATTGCGGGGTCATGCAACGCTGTACATAAATTACATTTATGTCCTTTTTTTCCCCAGAAATAGAGTTTTCTTTCGGTGGTATTTGATCACCTCTGCGATTTTTTTATTTTTTTTTTTGTGCTATAAACAAAAAACAATATTTTTGACTTTTTGCTATTAAACATGTCCAATAAAAAAATGTTAATTAAATTTCGTCATAAATTTAGGCCAAAATAAATTCTGCTACATGTCTTTGCTAAAAAAAAAATCCCAAAACGTGTAAATTAATTGGTTTACGTGAAAGTTATAGTGTCTACAAATGGTGGTATATATACTGTAATTTTTTTTATTTTTTTTATACTAGTAATGGCGGCAATCAGTGACTTATAGCAGGAATGCGGCAGGCATTCTGACACTGGGTGGGAACTGACTAACTGCCACTGACATCCCCAGTGACACTAATACAGTGATCAATGCTAATAAAAAGCACCAACACTGTACTAATGACACTGAGCAGAAAGGGGTTAACTTTCAGGCAATCAAAAAACTGTGTGCTGTGTGTGTTTTCTTGTGTGTGCTGTTTTACCTTGGGGACATGCTTTTTTGTATTCCTCTGCTGTGCAGAGAAATACAAAACAGCATGTCCTTGCTGGCAGGAGAGAAAGCTGTGTTGTTTACACACAGGTCTCTCCCCTGTCAGCTTTGCATGGTGATCGCTGGGTGCCGGCGGGGAATCTCCGGCCAGGTGATAAACATGCCTAGCCGCCAATGGTGCATGGATAGGGCGGTGTGCACTCCCTACCCAGAAATGCAAATCACGTATATATATATGTGATTTTGCGCAGCCCTTGCACCCCGTAGCAGTACTTCTACTATAGGTTGGCGGGGAAGCGGTTGAATACAGATGTTGCTTGCACTGTACCCAGTTTAGGTTCCATAACATAACTTGTTAATATATACAAAAGCTTGACTGTCAGTCTTATTGAACAAGGTAGTGCACAAAACAGTGATGGTCTGTAATGTGCAGTGATCCTTAGCAACAACATGATTCATTTTTCAGTCAGCTTAAAGCAGGCAGTAGAACAGGGTTGCTGATTTATTTTTACTGGCTATTGTGTTCACATTTTTTTTTATTATTAAATAACCTAGTGAGCAGACAATTTTTTTATTTTTTTATTTTTTTATTTTTATTTATTTCAGGTACTTTTATAGCGCCGTCCATTTACGCAGCACTTTACATACATATATTGTACATTCACATCAGTCCCTAACCCTCAAAGGGCGTACAATCTTAGTTCCCTAACTCACATTCATACATGCACATATTAGGGTCAATTAAGACAGGAACCAATTAACCTACCAGCATGTCTTTGAAGTGTGGGAGGAAACCGGAGTACCAGGAGAAGCCCACGCAAGCACAGGGAGAACATGCAAACTCCAGGGAGGTGCTGACATGCTTGAGATTCGAACTAGTGACCCTAGTACTGCCAGGCAGAAGTGCTAACCATTAAGGCACTGTGATCTTAATGAGACATAAATGCTTAACCGTTTCAGTACCGGGCAATTTTACACCTTCCTGCCCAGGCCATTTTTCAGGTTTCAGCGCTCTCACACTTTGAATGACAATTGCGCGGTTATACAACACTGTACCCAAACTAAAATTTTATCATTTTCTTCACACAACTAGAGCTTTCTTTTGGTGGTATTTAATCACCGCTGGGATTTTTATTTTTTGCTAAATTAACAAAAAAAGACCAAAAATTTTGAAAAAAAAACACATTTTTCTTTGTTTCTGTTATAAAAGTTTACAAATAAATAATTGTTCTTCATAAATTTAGGCCGAGATGTATTCTGCTACATGTCTTTGGTGAAAATAACCCAAATTAGGATGTATTTTTTAGTTTGTAGGAAAGTTATAGAGTTCACAAACTATGGTATAGATCTGAATATTGATCAATCCTGAAGTACTAACGGCCAATCTAATTTCTTGAGGTCCAAGAATGTCAGAATAGTACAGATATCCCCAAATGACCCCTTTTTGCAGAGTAGACAGTCCGACGTACTTCATAAGAGGCATGGCGAGTTTTTTGAAGTTGTATTTTTTTGTCATAATTTTTCCGAAAATGAAAAAATGAAAAAAATTATTTTCACTATTTTTTTTTTTACATGCTGTCACCAGTGCAGTACAGCATCATCATATAACTGGCATGGCGGTGAACAGGGACACTGACTGGTGACAGTATGAAAAAAAAATATATATATATTTTTTTATTTTTTTTTATTTTTTTATTATATTTAATTTTTTATTACATTTTTTTTTTTTTAAGATTTTTTTTTTCATATTTTACTATGACCAAAATAGTACAATGTTACCATAGTAACATTGTACTACATTGGGAAAGTGGTCAGTATTTTTTTTTTTTTTTTTTTTTACACAATTTGCTTATAGCAAAGAATTACTTTGCTATAAGCAAGCATTTAGCTGAATGAAATCGATTCATTCAGCTTTTTTTTTTTTTTTTTTTTTTTTTTTTTTTGTGCTTAGCTGTGATTTGGTCACAGCTAATCACATGACATGTGCATGTGATTAGCTGTGACCATTCACAGCTAGGCACTAGTATACAATGGATGGCATCATGAATGAAGCCATTCATGTATACAACTGTCATGTGACCTGCTGTGATTGGTCACAGCAGGTCACATGGTACCAGCAACGGGAGCCGGTACTCGGATCTGTCATCGGCCGCATCCGAGGTGCACGGCCGCCGACAGATCGCACTGCTGCGCCACTCTGCACTAGCGCAAACGGCGCATGTGCGGGAGCACGCCAAATGGCGTGCACCTGGAATGGAGGAGCACATCTGAAGCCGCCAAACGGCCATTGGCCGGGCGGCTAATGGTTAAAGTGACCTTGAACCCAAAAGCAAACATTTATTATATTGCTGCTTACCAATTCCTAGATGAGATGGCTGCATTCATTTTCTCTTTTAGGCCTACTTTCCTTTACTTTCATCTGGTAATCCAGCCAGTAAGCCTGTTGATTTTCAACATAACATGCTCTCCTGCATATGTAGCAGTTAGAGTATTGAGACAAACCATTTACCATCGACCAGGTACTTACAATGATCATACAAAACCTTTATCCCAAAAAAAAAAAAACTGTTGTAACTGCTTGCACACCTGCAGTGTGAGCTAGAGTTTAGCTTCAGTTTATTAGTGTATCTAAATCCGCTAGTACATCTAACAGTGCTGCTATCCAAAGGTGCCCCTGTGCTCATTAATCCAGAGTGGGGGCTCTCTAGTACAAGAGGTGTGTTAGGCCCCTTTCACATATGCAGACCCTTTGTCTGTTTTTCATCCATCTGTTGATGGATGAAAAACCAACATCAATGCATCTCTATGGCAAAATGGATGTAAACGGATAATCATCCATTTACATCTGTTTAAAAAAAAAAACAGCGGACACAAAGGGTGTAAACAGACAAATGGTCTGTTTTTGCATTGGCAGTGGATGTAAAAAAAACTAATGGAAAACTGATGTAATATGTATGAAAAACTGATGTAAGCTTCATCCGTTTTTATTTCTTTAAATAAATGTAACTGAACTGATGAAATGAAACAAGCCCGTCTGAAAGGGGCCTAAGAGGGGCCTAACTGGCAAGATTACAAGTGAAAACAGAGAACAAAAGACTAAAAAAGAAAACTAATGCAGCTATTCTAAGGACTGGTAAGCTGTGATGTATTAAAGTGTTTTGCGTGTAATGCTGCTGCTTTAAATGTAACAATACCTTATGTATGAAAGTGCAGATATATACTCTACATTATTATTATTATTACTTCGAGTTTATATAGCGCCAAAGGGTTTGCTCAGCGCTGTACAATAGAGGGGGGGACAATACATGGCACAGTACAACAACAACAAACAACGTACGAGGGGTAAGAGGGCCCTACTCTTTCGAGCTTACAATCTAGGAGATACATAACTATAATTTAAAGAATACTTGTCTAGTGGGAAAGCAACTTTGTTCCCAAATGAAGTGCTTTTGAAATCACCAAATATAAACCAATTTATATTGTTTTGCCTTGCAGTTCTCTAATAAAACAGTTGCGCAGGTGGCCTGTGATGTCCTTCAGCTGCTGGTTTCATATTGGCGAGAGCTCCAGAATCCTGAGTTACCTCTCTCCAGAAAGATCACTGAGGTAGGATTTTTCTGAGTAATCCTCTACCACTGACATTTCAGATGAGTCTATAAATGTCAAGGGACCTACAGTAAGATATCTATGGACATGTTGATAATGTGTTGTGTACAAGTGACCAGTTCCTCATAGGATCCAGAGATAAACAGGAGTCACCTCTGGGTTGTTAAATCCATATGTACCAACATTTACTGCAACTCGTGCACAGGGGATCACAGATAATTATCAGATCCTGCTTTTAATGTAAATTCTAAAAATTACTACTTCACCAAGTTCTGTGTCTGGTCTGCTTATTGCATTTCTCCATGGAGCTGCTTGATCATACCCTTAGGACTATTATGCTACATGCTGTAATTCTATTAAAATAACATAAATGCCAGTCATATATTTAATGCCCTTTATGTGTTAAATGTTAGAGTGTATTAAATTCAGGTTTTAGCCACCACAGTGTTCACTGCAATTTTCATACATACAGCCCATTTGGGCAAATTTGACCAATCACTCGCATTTTTTTCAATTATACTATACAGTGGCAGAGTTAACTGATTACATCATGTGCAAAGCAGATACAGTTATACTAAAGTGTGACTACAGTTTTATTTTATTCAATAAGACTGGTATTATATTACATGCTAGTTTGGAAAGAATATTTAAAGTTAAAAACAGTTTTATGTGTTTGAGATTTGTAGCACAGTAAAGCCTCATTCTGTCAGATATCCTAAAAATAAGGGAATAGTGGGCAGAGCCACACAGATAATTTTTTCCCCTTTGCCTTTCTTTGCTACACACTGGTTAATTTGGAGGGCTTTTGGTTACTTTTGGCTCAGCTCAGATTAGATTATTTCCCCTTTGAGGTTGTAGCATACAGTCATCTTTATATTGAGTAACGGTTGGATCTCTTCTTTTAGATTCTTGTGGCTACGATTTCCTTCCTTTTGCCAAGTGCAGAAAATTCCTCAGTGGAGGCAGATAAAAAGGTATATTTTATAACCACAAAGTCATATTTTCTCAGAGACACTTAAAATATCTGGGGATTAAAAACATCTGCATTTGAAGAGAAAAGACATAAAAATTTCCCAGTACTTACCTCGCCAGTCAGAAGAAAGTTAGATGAAAAGGTCTTCCATGTGCAGCTCCTTGCCATTTACTGTTTCTTCCTGTACTTGTTAGCGATCTCACCGATCACTAAGGATGCACCCCAGCATTAGCATGGAACTTTAAAGTTCCAAGGTGGGCAGGAACAGAGCTAAGAACTATGTCAGCAAGATTTTATTGATGAGTACGCAAGAGATATAAGAAGCCTCTAGTTGACTCCACTCTCCCAAGCTTCACCTGTAACCCTTTTAAGTGATCTTGTATTTTAATTACTTGTGGTTAACTTCATGTAAACATACCAGGGGCTATTTTCCTAAATGACCCTTACCCAAGGACCTGGGACCCAAACAAGATTTATGCGATCTGATTCCAGTATACATCAATAAAGGATTGCTCTTTGCATTCTCAATGAAATGGCAAAATAAATCTGTGAAATAGTACTGTTATAAACTGTCAGCGATAATACACAATTCAATTCTAAAGTGACTGCCCAGCTGTGTAACTGCTTTGTTTGTTATAAAATTCAACCATCTTTGTCCCCCTTCAGTTTATAGTGTCCCTTCTGTTGTGCCTGTTAGACTGGTGCATGGCCCTTCCCCTGCAAACATTGCTTGAGCCAATATCTACATTCCCCCTTGAGGAGCCACATCAACCTAAACCATCCCTCCTTGACTACATTTACAGAGTAAGTATGATATGTGTGTGCATTTAATGTTATCTTTATTCTGTTGTTATGATCCCATCAGCACGTGAGTCGTCTTTCTATAAACTGGCACATTGTTAACCTGGGGCCTTCAATCTAGTGGTTAGGTCACTCTACACCTCATTGATTGTTAGGGTCAAGTAGAGGTTTGTGGTGTTGATTTGATGTGTGATTTCTTTACTGCCAGAATTAGTTCAGTAAGGCAGTCTCACTCATGACATTTTTTTATCCAAAGAAGTGTAGCAAGAGAAGATTTTTAATCATAGTGCTTTTTGTTTTTATTTCATTTTCCTGTTTTGTTAGTTGCTGGTGCTCTTTTTTTTTTTTTTTTTTTTTTTTCTTTTCTTTTTTTATTTAACTGTAAAATTAGAGAAACGGGCTTTGCAAAACCATCTGTCTTAAACTATAATTAAAGGCATACCTTATTTTTTTAGTTTTGGATAGGGTGAAAAGGGATTAGAGCAACGTCCGGATTGTATTGTTGTCTGGGCCTTGTTAGGGAGAATCACCCTTTCTTTGTGTCCTTTTTTCCATTATCATCAAGAATGAAAAGGAATGCAGGAGCCCTGCATTGCACCCGCAATCAGCTGATTGCGGGTGCAATGCTTTACAGGGTCCTTAAATAACATTATAAATTTTACCTGCAAAAAAAGTGTTTTTTTTTTTTTTTTTTTTTTTTTTTTTTAAGTGAACCTATTCTTTAAGCTCATTACACATAGTTGTAACAATGGTTATGTAAGAAAGCATTTTTTTCTTTGCAGTACTGGATTGTTGGCTCAGGTTCACTTGCAAGGGCTCATTCACACCTGTGCCTGGTAGTAACATGCTGTAAAAATGTGTGTTACTGCAACACATCAACACATGAAACGCAGTGTGATACATTGCATTGTTATTTGTTCACATAGCACACTACTGTACACAATTGTGAACCATCTGTGTGCTGCATTTAAAAAAGCCACGTGTCTGTTTTATACATGTTGTGGTGTATTGGCAACCTATTCAAAGTGAATAGTAGACTCAGCGCAATGGGGCCGATGTCCGGAATCTTTTTGTAGAGTGTTGTAAAATGTATCTATGTTATATAAATAACAGACAAATGAGAGACAAATGCCATCTGATATATGCTTATTAGGATTGTTGAGAAAATCGTTTAGCAATCATAATGATATGTTTGGATTGCCAATGTTTATATTTAATATTTATGGTACTTTTAAATGGATCCTGTGCAAAGTGAAATAAGAAAGTTTCTATTGTTGATCTCCTTTCTAAAATGCTAGTCACCTGGCTGTCTTTGGTTTTAACAGTCAGACTCAGGACATGGACACAATTGAAGCAGGAGAGATGGGAAAACTACTGATCTGCACACTGGATCAGTGATGCCATGACAGTCAGGCAACTAGAATTTTCTAAAGATTAATGTAATTTCTGTCTATTTCTGGTTTCCTTTATATAAATATTCTACTTGAAATGTTTTAAATTTGGTCTGTTAGGCCCCATTCATACTATGATGCGTGCTGCCAGGCATTACACATGCACAAGGTTTTGTGTTTTTTTTGTCACTTTTCATGCATGGAGAAGGCCATTCATTTCATCTGGCTGCCCTATGCAGGGTAAATGCAGCAAAGTAGCTCACGCACCTTTTGGAGTTTTGTTGCGTTTTTCATGTGCTTTTTGCATTGTGAACATGTGTGTGCTCTCCATGCTTGAGGCACTATTAACAGTGAATTGCAACTGCCAGCGTGATGTATATTTGTGTGTTTAATAAACATGCAAAAATTGCATGAATTTGTGCATGGTCACAAAATGCTATAGTGTGAATGCAGCCTCAAAAATTACTATTATTATTGTTCTCTGTATTATAGTATACCTTAATTTTTTTTTAATGTTTTTTCTTTCAGGTTCTACATTGTTGTGTGTGTGGCTCCAACACATACACTCAACAAAGCCAGTATATTTTAAGTCTGGCTGATCTCTCCTCTATAGACTATGACCCATTTCTACCTTTAGGGAATGTAAAAAATTCTGAGCCTCCGCCTTCATATAACTCCTCTGATTTCAGCAATCTCCTCACTGTGGCAGAAGGTAAGCAATACATCTGCATTAGTCACCATTTCTTTCCCCATATTCCCGACAAATAAATGTTCTAAAACTAGAGATGAGAGTGTACTATTGCATGTGTACAGCTCCTCTTGTAATGATGAAACAACGTATACCAAGAAACCTCCCAGAAGGTCAATTGTATAATCTATGAGGGACATCCAAATTTCCTTTCTTGACATTTTTCATGGAAAACTGCTTTCTCAGGAGGATGAAGGGATCGTTACAGTAGTTTCTAAATGTATACAAGCATAAATATTAGCACAGCATGGCAAGAAAAAAAAAACTTAAAACATAATAACACATATGTATTTATGTGATTAGCAGTGTCTTATTTGCTAAAATTTTGTCAGCCATAGATGAGGCAAGTCAAAAGCATCACAAAGATGTATCGGCTTACCTGGTCAAGTGTGGGAATGCACTCTAGTAAACATTTATCCTGGCTAGGCCAAGAAAAACTTTCTAAAGTGGATGTTATCCCAAGATTTCTCTACCTATTCCAAAGGATCCCATTAAAAGTTCCTGAGTCCTATATACGAAAGCTTCTGCAGATATTCTCTGGCTTTCTTTGACACAACAAACACCCTAGGCTCTGATATAAATTTCTTGCATTGCCGAAGACGTGCCAAGAAGCAGGTGATCCTGATGCAGTTGTTTATCAGAAAACAGCAGTTCTTATTAGAATTCTTGACTGGTTCCATCATGTTTCCACAAAGCAATGGGTTCAACTTGAAAACCTATGATTGCTACAGATCTAATGGCTTTAGCATGGATTTTTCCTTCATTTCGAACAGACTGCTACAGATCTCATGGCTTTACCATGGATTTCTTCTTCACTTTGAACTGACTGCTACAGATTTCTTGGCTTTACCTTGGATTTCTCCTTCACCTTGAACTGCCATAGAACCTTTCAAATATCACAAAGCAAACTGCTTCTTTGTGGGACCAGACCATTGTAAATCTGAGAATTTCACAGTATCTTGGTTGTATGACACCCTTTTTTTGACATCTCCGCTTTCTCGCACTCTTTCATGGGCAATATTTTTGGCCCTTGGACTAAAAGAAATTACCGCAGATTATCACAACTTTTACGAGCTGACCCTTCTTTTATATCTGGTGGCCCTCAAATGAGGTTGCCAGTGGACTCATGGTTTCATTACAACTTATTTAGTTTATTCATACTATTCCAGATATTTCTGAACTTCACTCTACCTCTACAACTTTTGATGAATTACTCTTACAGAATACTTCTCCATCTCATGCAGTTTCTCAGGTATAGTCAATCCTTTCCTCTCTGGCCCATTCAGGGCTACCTAAATATACATCTAAATTAGAAAAAAACTTCAAACTACCATCCCTCTTCAGGAGTTGGAAAATGCTTTATACTAACTAATAGCGACCAGAGCTCAGGAGAAGGGACTCAAATTTATTTCTAGATGGTAGATGCCCTGGTCATCTTAATTGCATGTATCCAACCATCTGTGATGTTTGTTGGAAATGCCGTAGGTTGAAAGGGACATGATGAACATATGGTGGGAATGGCCACCGAATAAAACAGTTTGGGAAAACATTAGTTGATATATACCTTAAGATTACGGTGATACAAATTCCAAACTTACTAAAGAAAGCATTATTATCTATAATACCATGCCCCTTTAAAACAATTAAAAAATATATTTTTTCGTAATTTTATTTCAGCAGCGAGAGCAGTGTTTCCTTGCCATTGGAAATCGAGAACTGTTCCATCTCTAGCTGAATGGGCAATAGAGCTAGATTCTAATAGGGATTTGGAAAAAATGCTATCACAAGAAAATGACAGATTTGAACATTATAGAAACACGTGGTATACATGGTCAATGCTCAGAACTTCTCAGGAGTTCAGTGAAAGGATTCACAGAATTCCTCTCTTTCCTATGTGAGCCTAGGGCAGTGGTTGTCAACATATGAGTTAAAGGGGGCCTAAAAAGCGCCCCCTGACATCACCAAAGGACCGCATAATGCTGTTCAATATATGTAATGTATTATAAAGACTGTCAGAAACTGCAGAAGGTCAAAGAGTGCGGAAATGCTACATTTTTGGCTGGGGATGGATGTAGAAGATAATCTGAAAGTGGGAATGTTACATGAGGAAAATTGAGAATAATTACTATGATTACATGTTTCCTATTACCCCAATCAATGTTTCTACTACAAATTGCTGTGGATCAAGGGCCGCAAGTGATATACCAAAGTGCTGCAGGTTTTCTTTTCATTTAAGTTAACAGTGTTAACAACTTCAAGTGTTATACCCTTACGATATACTTAGGCCACGAGAGTAAGAAAGAGTTTTTTAGTGATTCGAAATGAGATTCATTATTGTTTTTGGGGATAATGAACACAGCTGAGTAGAGATCAGTAATACAGCATTTAATACAGAGCCATAAAACAAAAGTAGAAATTTTGAGTGCAGCAATTTACTCACATACTTGATTACTTGTCTACAGTTAGGTCCATATATATTTGGACACAGGCACATTTTTCATACTTTTGGTTCTGTATGCCACCAGAATAAATTAAAACAAAACCAAATGAATGTGAAGTACAGACTTTCAGCTTTAATTCAAGGGGTTGAACATAAATATCAAGTACAAATTTTAGGAAAACCAACCATTTTTATACACAGTCCCTCCGTTTTCAGGGGCTTAAATGTAATTGGACAAATGAATATAATCATAAATAAAATGTTCATTTTTAATATTTTGTTGAGAATCCTTTACTGGCAACGGCTGCCTGAAGTCTGGAACCCATGGACATTACCAAAGACTGGGTTTCTTCCTTTCTGATGCTTTGCCAGGCTCTAACTGCAGCTGTCTTCAGTTCTTTGTTTGTGAGTCTTTCTGCCTTTAGTTTTGCCTTCAGCAAGTGAAATGCATGCTCAATTGGGTTGAGATCAGGTGATTGACTTGGCCATTGCAGAATATTCCAATTCTTTTCCTTCAAAAGCTCCTGTGTTGCTTTTGAAGTGTGTTTTAGATCATTGTCCATCTGTACTGTGAAGCGCCGTCCAATCAACTTTGCTGCATTTGGCTGAATCTGGGCTGACAGTATATCTCTGAACACTGCAGAATTCATCCGGCTGCTTCTGGCTTCTGTCATATCATCAATAAACACCAATGACCCAGTGCCACTGGAAGCCATGCATGCCCATGCCATCACACTGCCTCCACCATGTTTTACAGATGAGGTTGTGTGCTTTGGATCATGAGCTGTTCCAAGCCTTCTCCACACTTTTTTCTTCCCGTCATTCTGGTACAGATTAATCTTCGTTTCATTCGTCCAAAGAATGTGCATGCTTTTTCATGTTTCTGAGCTCACCAGTGCCTTCTTCTTTCTTCAGAATGTACCAGACTGTTGATTTGGCCACTCCTAATGTTGCTGCTGTCTCTTTGATGGATGTGTTTCATTTTTGAAGCCTTACAATGGCCTGTTTCACTTGCATGGACAGCTCCTTTGAACGCATGATGTAGGTTCACAGCAATAGATTCCAAATGCAAATACCACACTTAGAATCAACTCCAGACCTTTTACCTGCTTAATTGATGAAGAGATAACGAAGGAGTAGCCCACACCTGGCCATGAAACAGCTTTTGATTCAATTGTCCAATTACTTTTAGTCCCTTTAAAAAGGGGTGGGGTGGCTACTCTTAAGAGCTGTACTTCCTAATCCCTTCCTCCAATTTGGATGTACATACCCTCAAATTACACCTGAGAGTGTGCACTTTCAGCCCATATCCATTATATAACTATAGCTTGAATATGTTTTGGTAAATACCTGAAAAAAAACTAAAATTGTGCCTGTGTCCAAATATATATGGACCTAACTGTATAAGCATGTTTACTTGCATAAAAATTAGTATATTACAACACTGGCATTGAAGTGTATACGCTTACGCATCTTTACTTGCCTATATGCAACACTACTCAGGTCTTTACACACAGTGTTTTTACTTAAGGACTTTCTGTCAACAAGTTCCTGAGTAAACATCAGTAAATTATAATTCCCGTGTGCAAGGGGCCTAAGTTTGTACATAGATTAGTAGATACTCTAAACGTTTGCGTTCATATTGTTACCTATTTAAAATTAGAACTCAGTATATAATAGAGGTACTAGACTCTAGGGATGTATATCAACATACTAACTAGAGTATATACAATATTTATTATAATTGCCTTAGTCTTATTAGATCAACCTTATTTTTTTTTTTTTCATTTTGGTTTGTATTTGTTTGATCGATACCATTGTGTTTAAAATATTAATAAAATAAGCTGCTCCAAAAAGGGGTCACCTAAGAAAACGGGCACCTGAGAAAAGGAGCCATACATATGCCATCAATCAAACCACAAAACAAATACCTATACATAATACTGGTAAGTGTCATAGGGATGTATGTGCACCATAAGGATAACCCACCCGTGCACACACTATTTCTCCAAAGAGCTCTCTAGAAGTTGTTCCAAAAAGATGATTATGGGGCAAAGGCAATTCCTGGATACATAGAAAGAAACAAAATAAATATGTATCCTAACATGAGAAAAACACCATGCTTGGGTCCAAAAGGTTATATGATATTAATTTAGTTGTGCTCAGTAAGTACATGGCAGCTGTAGGCCATCTTGTCAAGTCTCATCCATTTTGTTTTTCCTGAGCCCGTGATCTTACCCCTCCCCTCCTGCAAACTATGCAATTCATAGCTTTAACTTTTAAAACACTTCAAAAGAGCCAGTTATCTCCACTTAGGGACAGCAGACACCAGCATGCAGGCCTGGGTCAGAACTGTAAACCACTATTTGAGGCCTGCAGGCATGCCTGTTTCTACGGACCATTAAAAAAAAAAAAAAGTATACAGATTAACACTTCCATCTGACCTATCGTAAAATGATGTTGCTTTATTGTTCTCTTTATTTCTCTGTAACCTCTTTTTTCTGTAAATATTTTATTTGCACCA